AAACAATGAAAAAAAAAAAAAAACAAAGAACTTTTGTTTTTGCTTTTTTTTTTAGATCTCTTCCTTCAAAATGGCTTTCTCTCTTTTTTTTTTTCTATTTTTTTTCAAGAAAGCACTTTTCTTTCTCTTTTTCTCTTTTTTTTTTTTTTGCTTTTTTCCTCCTTCCCTTTTTTTTTCAACCCCCTTCTTCCTTCCTTTTCAAAAAGGAAACCACCAAAATATCTTTAAAAGATTAAGTATAAGTCTTTGAATCAAATCTCATCCAAGGGTCAAAGTTTTTTCTTTTTGTTCAAGGAGTAATTTTTAACCATTGGATTAAGATTTAATAAGAGATCTAATGGTCTACATTATTTACTACAAAAGTTTAATTTTTATAGCTCCTAAACTAAATGAAAATACTATTTTACCCTTAGTATAAAGTTTTTGGTATTTAGATCATTTTATTAGAATCAATATTTCCATGCTCATTTTTAGGATTTTAAAAGCACCAAAAATCATGAAATATTAAAAAATTAAGATTTGAAAAGTTTCATGAAAATCCGAGCTTAAGAAAGCTAAATTACCAAAATACCCTTAAGGGGTATTTTCATAATTGCACACCTTTTGAGGCATTACTGTGATTTCAAATGCACCAAAATTTATGAAATATTATGAAATTAAGATATAAAAAGTTTCATGAAAATCTGATTTTTGGAAGATAAAATTACAAAAATACCTCTAAAGGGCATTTTAGTAAATTTGTACTTTTCCAAGTGCAATAAAAATTTTAGTGTTTTAAAAATCACCAATTTTAACTTTTACACCACATTGATTCGAATTAAGTTACGAATTTTGAGAACTGACCCGAGTTCTATCTATTTTGATCAAGTTTTGTGTAATTTTGACTTTATTTAACTAATTTTAACTTTATTGATCAAGTTTGATTGGATTTGACCTGAGTTGACATTGGGTCTCTAAATGAGCTAATTTGTGAGCTTTTTATGGGTTATAAATGTCCTCTTAAATGGTTTATGTAATAGTCCTATGTTAATGAGTCCGGCCTATTTTTACAAATGAGTCTGGGTCAGTCATGTTAAAAAGGTTTCGGATAAAATTTGGTGTTTATAAAATGTAATCAGTTTTAAGTAGGGGAAGCAATCATCTCTACTTAAGAGTGTTGAACAGGATGAGTAGTCTTCTCTACTAGAAAGTGTTGAGTAGGGGGAGCTACTTTCAACTTCATGTAATGTAGAGCTTTAGCATATGAGCTAAAAAGCTTTGAAGATATATAGATTACTCCGATAGAGAGCATTGGTTAAAAATAATAAAAGAAAAAATGAAGTCATTGTGAAAAAATGGTACATATGATCTTATTAAACTTTCAAAATGGAAGAGACCGTTGAAGAATAAATGGATGTTCAAGTTGAAAAACAAATGGTGACAAACTAGTGAGATACAAAGCTCGATTGATAGTGAAAAGTTTTTCTTAAAAACTCGACATCGATTTTAATGAGATCTTTTCTCTAGTTGTGAAGATGAGTTTCATTCAAGTGGTACTAAGATTAACAGCTAATTTAAATTTTGAACTTCAACAACTTGATGTTAAGACTGTATTCTTACATAGTGACTTGCTTGAAGATATTTATATAAATCAGCTTAAGGTTTTGAAGTAAAAGAGAAATAGTACTTAGTTTGCAAACTGAAAAAAGGCTTGTATGGCTTGAAACATAATCCGCGACAGTGGTACAAAAAATTTGATTCTTTTATGGTAAGCTACAGTTGTAAAAGAATAACAACGAATTTTGTATGTATGTTAAAAAATATACTGATAGTAATTTCATTATTCTTTTATTATATGTTGATTTATTGATTATAGGATAAGATGCTAGTATAGTTTGTAGGTTGAAAGAATACTTGTCTAAGTCTTTTGACATGAAAGATTTAGGTCTAGCAAACCAGATTCTTGATATAAATATTATCTGAGATAGAAGAGTTGGAAAGCTATGGTTATCACAGAAAAAGTATGTTAAACAGGTGCTTTGTATAATCAACATATAGTATGCTAAATCAATTAGCAGTCCACTTACCAATCATTTTCATCTGAGTAAGAAATCTTATTCAATGACTAAAAAAGAGTAACTAGCTATGTCTAGTATTTCTTATTCTTCTGTAGTCAGTTCTTTGATATATCTTATGGTCTGCATATGGCTTAGCATTACTTATGCAGTTGGTGTAGTCAACATATTTCTTTCTAATTCGAGAAATGTTCATTGAGAAGCAGTGAAATAAATTTTTAGATATTTGAGGGGCACCTAAAAAATGTACTTGAGTTATGGAGTTTCACAACCAGTTAGAAGGGTTTAGTGATGCTGATACGGCAGGTGATCTTGATGTAAAAAATTTACTTCAGGATATTTGTTCACTTTTACAAGAAAAGCTGTATCTTGGTAGTCTAAGTTACAGAAGTGTGTTATCTTATCAATTATAAAGACTGAGCATATTGCAATAACTAAAGTAAGTAAAGAAATGCTTTGGATAAAATATTTTTTTCTTGAATTGGGGTTGAATCATAAAGAGTATGCGAAATTTTGTGATAGCCAAAGTTCTTTAAATTGGAGTAAGAATACCATATACCATGCTAGAATAAAACATATTAATATTAGATATCACTGCCTGTATTCAATGATTGAAAAATAGCAGATGCAGTTAAAGAAAGTTCAGTATGATGAGAATGCAGTAGATATGTTAACTAAGACATTTCTCAGGAAAAAACTTGAGCTTTGCAATAACTTAGTCGGATTGGGTTCTTTAGCCAATGTAAGTTTCAAATAAAACTACTATGGTGATGAATTTCTTTCTAATGGGATTGGAGGAAAAGATTGTTAGGAACGTGAGGTTCAACCTTATGTTTTTTACCATTCAAAGGCTATAAGTCTTTTAACTTAATGTGGTATAAGAGCCTTACATATTAAAAAGGTAAGGCTGTGATTTTTAGTGTGATAATTGATGTAGCGCCGAAAAGGAAAAAAAAAAGTCAGAAAAGATAATGAGAAAAAAAAGAAAGGAGAATTGATTAAATGGTAATCGATTCATAGTTCAATTGAGTTAAAATTTTGTCAAAAGGTTCATGATTTAATGTTTTACATTATGAATGATGAAGATCGGGTTTGAAGCTTTTTAAAAACAAATTTAAGATGTATTTGTTGAGTCATTGATTTAGTGAGATTTCTCTGATTATTTTTTAGTTGTTTGTTAGCTTTAATTTTAACCGAAAAAAAATTTTATATATTTATTATTTGATAGTGAAGATTTTTTAGTAATTTGTGAGTTTTTTTTTATATTGATGGATTTTTTATATTAATCTTAATATATTTTATTTTTTATATTTTAAATTATTAATTGTTATATATTACTATAAATTTATTATAATATATTATTTTTATATTATTATATTTGTCACTTGTCCAATAAAAAGATGAGTAAAATAATTGACGGTGATCTAAATAATAATAATAATAATAATAATAATAATAATAATAATGGACGGTGATCGAAAAAGTGGTGGGGAGGTGACGACTAAGAGTGATGTGGGAAAAGAATAATTGACAGAAAGAAACTCTTGGATAATAATGATTGGTGGGGAAAAAAATAATGATTGAGCATTGAAAGAAATAAATGGTGCGTAGCAAAACGAAAGCAATGCTATCGTATAAGGAAAAAAAAAAAAAAAGAAAATAGTAATTGATACGTACAAAAGAAGGAAATAATTAATGAACATGGAAAAAGAAAGCTTCCGTACATTTTTGGCAAAATATTTATTGATCTATTTCATAGAAAGTAATAAGCAGTGATCAATGGTAATTAAAGCTAATGACTAGAAAAACAAAATCTTTGTATACAAAGTTTACTCTAAATTCCTATGCAAATCTTTACTTTGTTACTATATAGAAATTTGACTGTTATTACCCTGTAATGCTTGCCGAGATTACCAAGACTTATGGTCCCATAAATGATTATAATGACTGTGAAACTCGGTCACACAACTATTATAGGTTTTCCAAGTTAAAAAAAGAAAAAAAAAAAAGAAAAGAAACTATTGCAGGTTTTTCACTCAACAACCATGGCCTAAGAAAACAAGAAATCCTCCAAAAAGCATGATGTGGCCAACGAAACCGTTCCTGGTGCCATTCGAGCCCTTCAACACCACATGCCCGCAGTGGTTTTAAGCGTCTAAAAATTCAGATTGACCCTGATCGCATCATCTTGCTACCATTCACAAACATGCCCTATTTGTCTACAGTAAACCAAATTAAAAATATAAATAATATATTAATTTTTATAAATTATTCAAATTCAATTCAAATAAAATTTAAATTTTATTCTATCATTATCTTATCGAACTTAAACTTAAATAATTGATTTATCGAGTAAGTTGAATTTGAATATTTTAATGTTCAGTTCAAAAAATTTACAAATTTAGTCAAATTTTTATATTTTAATATAATTTATATTTATTTAATTAAAAAATTATTATTTTATTCATATAAATCAATTTAAATTCAAATTTAAATACAAAAAATTAATTTAAAATCGAGTATTAAAATCAAATTTATTTTTTATTCGATACATAAATTTAATCGAATGAATTCGAATAACTTAATTTTTATATTGACTTAAATTCAAGATTTAAAATTAAAATTTGAATCAAATTTCAAATAAATTTTAACTCAAATTTAATTATACTTTTAATTCAAATTAAGAGATCAAGAACGCATTTACACATAATAATTGGCCTCTTGGCCTAGATAAAGTACACAAAATAATAAAATCGAAAGTACTGGAGTAACAAATAAGATAAAAATTAAAATTTTCACAATTTTAATAAATGGTGTCTTTTGTTTTTTACAAAAAAATAAAAAATAAAAAATAAAATGACGGACTGACGATGCCATTGGATTCTGTTAACTATCACCAAATCCACGTTGTATAATTTCTATATAAGACTTACGCACGAATGGACACCGTGTTTCCCTAAAATGATTCTGAATAAGTGCATCAATGAAACAACTGCTTGCTCTTCTCCCTGCCGTCTTCCTTGTTCTGCTGTAATTGCTTACCCTAGAAACTCGTTTTCACCATGGCTGACAACAGGGAGAAAGCTAGGCCGATCAAGGGTGCTTCGTTGTTTCACAATCATTTCAAAGCCCAGCTTCATAGAAGCAAACCAACGTCGATCAGCTAATTACCACCCTAGCATTTGGGACCCGAAACTTATTGAATCCTTGACCACTCCATATTCGGTAAGTACACTTTTTTTCATCATGGATGAGCTTTATTCTATATGCCATTTTTTTTTTTTTTAACTTTGTACCAGCATGTGTTGCAGTATGAGTTTCATGGTACTAAATTAGAGAACTTGAAGAAAGAGGCTAGAAATTTGTTGGCATTTGTCCAAGACCCTTCTGCAACATTGAATCTAATCGACTTGATGCAGCGGTTAGGCGTAGCCTACCATTTCGGCAAAGAGATTGGTGAGGCTCTAAATAATGTCCGAAGAAAAACTGTTACCGAGGATCTTTATACAACTTCATTACTGTTCCGGATTCTACGTGAACATGGTTATCCGATTAGCACAGGTGATAACAGAGTTGTAAACATAAAATATAGAAGTATAAAGCCAGAGTGCTTAATTTTTTCCCCTGACTTTATTAATTCATTCATTTTTTGATGATCATGGTGGAAAACAGATCTGTTTAACAGATTCAGAGGTAGAGATGGGAAATTTATGGACAGTTTAGGAGGAGATGTGGCGGGGCTTTTGAGTTTATATGAAGCTTCATACCTCGGAATGCATGGAGAAGATGTTATGGAAGAGGCCAAGAAATTCAGTGCAGAGCATCTCAAATCTTCATTGGGGAATTTAGATTGTGATTTGGGTATCCAAGTGCAACAGTCCCTACAAGTTCCTTTACATTGGAAGATGCCTAGAATTGAGGCAATGACTTTTATAGATGTCTACCAAAAGCAGGACACAAAGAATTCAACTTTAATTGAGCTTGCCATGTTAGATTACAATCTAGTGCAATCAGTTTATCAACAGGAACTCAAAGAGTTGGCAACGTAAGAATAATTGTATCATTAAAGTACTTTTAATTGATGAAGTACTAATTGAGAGGCGTCGTTTGTTTCAACAGGTGGTGGAGAGACTTGGGATTTAAAGAGAAGATGAGTTTTTCACGGGATCGATTGATGGAAAATTACATATGGGCAATGGGGATCATCTTCGAGCCTCAATTCTCCAAATGCAGGATGTACCTCACCAAATTCGTATGCATTTTAACCGCAATTGATGATATGTATGATGTATATGGACTGCCGGATGAACTTGAACTCTTCACCAGAGCAGTGAATCAGTACGACAATGACCCTTCTGCTTCTTTTCCTCGCGGAAAAAACAAAAGAAATGTTCTAACAAAATTCCTCCATTGTTTTTTTTTTTTCTTTTTTTTTGGCAATTTAGATGGGATATTAGGGCCATGAAGGACCTTCCAGAATATATGAGGGCATGCTATTTAGCCTTGTTCAACTTTGTTAACGATTTGGGACATGGAATCCTGAAAGATCATGGATTCAATATCGCCCGCTACATTAAGGAAGAGGTACATCATTAAGCTAGTTCTAAAAAGATTCTCTCAGAAATGGCGAATTTGGAGCAATACCGCATGCTTAATTATCTGAAATTCTATGTCAACTGCAGTGGAAGAAGCTTTGTCAGTCATATTTAACCGAAGCAAAATGGTTTGACAACGGGTACACACCAGCTCTGAAGGAGTATTTAGAAAACGCCTGGATTTCGGTGGGTGGTCCTGCAGCCATAGTTCATGCTTATATTTTACAACCAGGCTCAATGCCAGAAAAATCTCTGGATCATTGCTTCAAGCATGGTCGTGAGCTAATATATTGGTCGTCCCTAATTACCCGGCTTAGCGATGATTTGGGTACTTCCGAGGTATGTACTACTTATAAGACTAACAGAATCTGGAGCACGTATTATTTACAATCATTACACTATAATTAATTAATTATAATTTATAAATATGTGAAATTCATAAAAAGATTTTATATTCAATCTACATTTATAAATTGTGAACTCTTGTATAATTGTGATTGAATAATTTTAAAATTAGAGTAAAAAGAATTGTGCATGAAATTCACTCAAATGATGATCAATAATCCCTTATTTTCTGAATCTTTCTTCTTTCTGAAGGCCGAGGGTGCTAGAGGAGACGTTGCGAAATCGACAGAGTGCTACATGATTGAAGGAGGAATGTCCAAAGAAGAAGCAAGACAGCACATTAAGGGTTTGATAGCTCATTCATGGGAAATGTTGAATGAGGAAAGCTACAAAAATTCCCTACCAAGATCCATGATAAAGATGTGCTTAAACATGGCGCGTACTGCTCAGTGCATCTTCCAGCATGGAGATGGTATTGGGACGTCAAGCGGAGCAACAAAGGATCTTTTAATCTCACTCATTGTCGAACCTATCACAACTGATTAGTTCATTTTTATTTCATTTTTTTTTTGTTTTTAGACGTAACGGTAAAATTAGCCATTTGAATTCTGCAAACAGAACCGTTCGAGCCTTTACTCTTTTATTTGAGTCAATCAAATCCTTTAATTTTTTTTTAAAATTTATATTTAATATATTATAAGTATATAAATATTATACATAGATAATTAATCACATAATAAAATTTTATAAAAAATTATTATAAAATATATTTTTAAAATTAAATACATATTTAAAATTAAATATATATTTTTAAGATTTTAAAATTTTAAAACTAATTTTATGAGATGTCATTATGTTATACGTACTAATGCATCAAATATAATTTTTTTATTTTTTTAATCATTTTGATCGAATAATACAATTGCATGATGACATAGTACTAACGATTCCGTTAACCGTCAAAGTTCAGACCCAACATACCATGTGAACGTGCGTCTTACACGTAGCATGCCAAAATTTTAAAATCAGATGTCTAGACCAAAATTTTTAATGTAATTTCTAGATCTGATAATTACAAACATACCACATTATTTCTCTTGGCTGCCATTTCCTCTCTTTGATAAAGTGACAATGACAGCTCTTGTGAGTGGTATCCATCAGAAGCATAAAATGAATCTGGGCGCTCAAACTGGCTCCATTGTTTCTGCATAGCACGCTTGGTAGCTTCATATGAATCATGGCCTATGGCAGCAAATATATCTAGCGAGAGATATAAGTTATGAAACCCAACATATAAGCATGAGAGGTAAGATGGAAGTCAGGAAGAACGAAGAAGATAAGTGATGGAACTGAAATTAAAAAAAAAAAGGAAAAAAGAAAAAGGGGGAAAGAGAAAGAAAGGGAAGTAAAGAGATTTTGAAGACATAGGATGAGAAAGAGGTAACAAATCTTGGAGTAAAGTGAACGGCAAAGCGAAAAATATATGTTTTTTTTTTTCAAAAGAACACGTAATAACTAGACAAATCCGTTTGTCAAGTTTCCAAAGTCGCTGACAATGAATAGGATTTGAGTTTTGGACTCTATTGACAGTGAATAGGACTGTGAGTGATGTCCAAAAACTTCACAAACGGATTTAATTATGTTACACGTGTCCTAAGAAAAGTGTTTTTTCACTTTGCCGTTCCTGGACTCACGTTAAGTAAGCTACCCGTATCACATTCACACGGTGTCTCCAAAATTTATTTACTTCCTGTATTTTTTTTTCCAAAATGTAACAACATTACAACTTTATTTTATGAATTAGCACAGTGAATAGTAATATATGAATTGAATTAAAACTTAAGAACTTAAAATCAATAAAACAATTAATGAGTAGAATCATTAATAAACCGGAAATTTTGATTAAAAATATAACTAATAGTAAACAATTTTAAGAATCATTTAGTTTTTTTTCTTAAGCTTTTTAATAAAAAATTGATTTCATAAAAAAATGAAGGTGAAGAGTGGTTATTAGGAATTATTTTTTTATTGAAAAAATATCAAATTTAACATTTTATGGTTTTTGAATAATTCATTTATGATTTTTTACATTAAATTATTATAAATTTTAAAGAATAAATTATAATTAATTTATATAAAAACAAAAAATTGAAATAAATTGAACTGAAATAAGTCGGTTAGTTTTTTAATTTAATAATGATAGATGAATGATCTGAAAGGATAACTTTTTGAAAAATCAATTATTTGAAAATATGAAAAAATTTACATATTTTTATAAATTTAAATTTTTTTAAATTGTTTTATTTTAGTAAAAATACAAAGTTGCATTCACAAAAAAATTTAATAGTTCTGTTAATGAAGAGCAATTTTTCTGGTTTAGTCTATTTCCTTGTTTCGTGTAAAAAGAATTTTACATTTGACTCAACTCAGTTTTATAATATTTGATATTTGAATTTCAAAATAATTGAACCTTTGAAAATTTTTATATATCTTATTTATTCTTTAAAAAGTGTCATTTTTTTGAAAAAAGCAAAAAAAAAAAAAGAAAAAAAAATGAGACATGTTATAAAAATGATTAATTGTCTTATTCAGATAAAATATGTTTTAAATTTTTTATTTTATTTTTTGTGCAAGACCCACTTAATACCAAGCTTTAAAAAAAAATTGTGAATACATATACATATATATAAAATAAAATAGATAATTTTATATCTTTTAAAAAGTATTTATTAAATATTTTAAAAATCTAAATAAAATAAAAAAATACAAAAAAAAGTATAAAAAAAAAAAAAAGAATGAAGAAGGACCATGCGGCAACCCTTAGCGAGACTCAAACTTACTGTCAAAACGATCAAAATTAATAGTATTACTTGACATATGGTACAGTCTTGATATCAAGTATGTATCACAAAAAAATTAAAATATAAAAATTATTTATTAAATATATGAAAAAGAAAAAGTTAGTAAAATACTTGACATACCTTGATATCAAGTGGATTTTACACACAAAAAATTTAAAATTCAAAAAATATTTAGAAAATATTTTTAAAAAAAGAAAAGGAAAAACAAAAAAAAAAAATGGTGTAAATGGGTCACATAACAAATCTTTTAAAATAATTATTTAGTTTTTATCATTTAAAAAATTAATTAACTATAAAAAGTAAAAAGTAAAAAAATCCAAAAAGGAATAATATTTATTGAATATTTTAAAAGAAAGAAAAGAAAAAAAATGATAAAAAGTGAAAACAAAAAAAATTTTTGGTATAAGTGGGTCTCACATAAAAAAATAAAAACTTTAAAAATATGTATTTATTTTTTATAATTAAAAAAATTAAATAGGTATAAAAAACCCCCCAAAAAAGTTAAAAAAGAAAAAAACCTGCATGCTATTGTGAGTCAAAATTTTTTTTTGTTTTGCCATTTTCATTTACTGATTATTTTTTGCAAAATTTACCTAATAAAAAGAGAAAAAAAAAAGGTTAAAAGTAAAAAAAAACAAATGGGGATGATACCGAACACTTAAATTGATCTCCTATTCTTACAAAATATATCTTATAAAAAAGTAAAAAATAAAAAGTAGAAAGGACAAAAACAACCAAAAAATAAAAAATTAAAAAAAGTTCATAGAAAGTGACATGGGTATCTCCATCCAATTTAAAATATTAATTTTTTAAATTATGGTATCAAATAAAAATTTTATTAATATAATACATATATAAATGAAAATTAAATTAATAATAAAATAGGTAAATGAGTCTCAAAAGCCTTTGAATAAAAATTCAATAATTATCTAAGCCTCGTTCATTTGTTTGCAATTAATTAAACCCTTAAACATTTCTTTTCATCAATTGAGTCAAAAGAAAAATATTTAACTATTTTCATCTAATTGAGAGCTTAATTAGGTGAAAATATATGTTTAAAAGTTTAATTGATTCGAAATATAAAATTTGTTACTTAATTAATTGTAATAAAAAGTCAAGGACTTAAATGATTATTAAATTTTTGTTAGAAGAATTTTTTGACCTTTTTGTCAATAAAAAATATATTTTTATATATCTCTCGAAGTGAGCTAGGATAAATTCTTGTAAACAAGCTTTTACCTCAGTCTTGTATTTCATTAAAAAATTTTATCTATCCTAACTCGATCCAAATTAAAAAAAAAAAAAATTCATCTCATAATGAATTGAGGTGAATTGAAACCCGTTAGATATAAATGTTTTAACATCTCTATCAATCGTCATATTTTATTGAAAATTTTATTTAATTAAAAACAAAAAAAATGAAAAAAAAAAGTGAAATGGGATATCACATGGACATCTCCATTGGTGTCTTTTTTTTTTTCAAAACTTAATTTAATAAAAAAATTAAAAAAGAAAAAAAAAGAGAAAAAAAGAAAATGTAGCTGTGAGATATAACATGAACATCCCAATTAAGCTTAAAGTGTTAATTTTTTAAATTAAGATATCAAATAATAATTTTATTAATAAAAAAATAAAACAAAAAATAATTAAAATAAACAAATAAGACAAAAGAGATTGTTGAGGTGACATGTATGTCTAAATTGAATGTAAAAACATTAATATCTTAAATTAGGGTAAAAAGTAATAATTTCATTAATATAATATGTATATGAATATAAAATTAAATAGATAACAAAATATATATTTTTACGTGTATCATGGGAAGACTTGTGACAGAGCATTTTAAATTTGCTTTAAACCTATCTCCATATTTTAAAAAAATTGATATGATTTGATTTAATATCTTTTTTTTTTTTTATAGAACTCCCAAATTAAATAGAAATTGGTAGAAACCTATTGAATATTAATAGTTTTGGCTATCCTTATTAATTGACTCATTTTTATTGTAAAATAATTTAATTAAAAGATACAAAAAAGAAAAAGAAAAAGAAAAGAAACAAACAAATAGGGTGCTATTAAAGCCATATTCATTAACATTGTTTTCTCATAAAATTTATCTAATAAAAAACAATAAATGAAAAAGAAAAAGAAAAAAATTTCCTCCTATTAGATCAAGTTAGATTGAAACTCACTGGATACAAATTATTTTACCATCTTTATCCATTAGTTCCTTTTGTTGTAAAATTATGTAATTAAAAAAAATGAAAAGTAAAAAACCAAATTGGGTGCCATGTGGATACTTTCATTGAATTTTTTTAACAAATTTATCTAAATTAAAGATAAAAAAAATTGACAAAAAAGAAAAAGGGAAAAAATAAAAAAAGGAAAGAAACAATGTCAACATCTTGAATGAGTGTCAATAAAAATTAAAAATGAGTACGATTTATATAATAGATAGAAAAATGGATTATAACTCAATTATTTATAAATATAGTATTTTTATAAAATTAAAATATTAAATAATAACTTTATAAATATAATACTTATTTATAAATATAAAATGAACTAAATAATATATATATATATATATATATACACACACACATACTTGAGGTAAGATAAAAAATTTTAACCCATCACTGATATGACTTTAATTTAAAAAACAAATCAATTTCATCTTAATTTTTTAAAAAATCTGTACGAATAAGTTGAATTAAAACTCATAAGATATAAGTTATCTTGTCATCCCTACATCTATTAACTTTGTTTTATAACAATTTCATTGAATTTTTTTAACAAATTTATCT